AGAGAGAGAGAGAGAGAGAGAGAGAGAGTAAAGCAGTGATGGAGCAAGCCCACTCAAGCTATACCTCTGTGAGCACGCACAGCGTGCGAAGCGACAGAGGGCTGCAGTGTGCTGCAGACCTCGATCTAGCCCGAAACCTAACAAGACGCACGCGTAATGTGTCACCAGCGATGTCAAGCGCAAGAGAAAATGCCTTTCAATAGACAAAAAATACGATATAATCCAGGCTGTTAACAAAAAGCAAGCTTCACTGGCAGAGATTTTGTCGTCAGTTCGACATCCCACAAGGGTTGATTCACACCATTATCAAGGACAGAGAGAAGATAGTGGCAGCATACTCCAATGGAAAGTTTGCTCTAGATCGAAAGAAGATGAGACTCCCCGATGCAGATGCTGTGGACCAAGCTCTTCTGATGTGGTTTGAGGAGGCAATGAGAAAGTTGGTGCCAAAACCTCTGTTCGTGGGTACTTGTGGCAAGAGAAACTACCAATGAATAAGTACAGCTGGATTAGTCCACAAATGCTTACTTTCCTTGCATTTTGATTTAACAGGGATCCACGGCTGTTAAAACCCCACTGAAAGTGGTACTTTAGTTAGTGGCCGAACCCCGGTCTGACCTCCCGCGCGAAGGTAATAAATCAGTGTCAGTGTGCCACTCCCGTGCTTAACAACTGTGGCGATAGTGATGCCCGCCGCCGTGCCTGCGTAACTCGATTCCGGTAATTTTCGTATCACTTTCCCTCGTTATTTCTCTCGATCTGATAAACCAAGAAGCTTGTTTAACATATCATTTTAAAGATAGTCTTAAGACTAACAAGACGATCCCACTTTCGCTCCGGAAATCTCACTGGTTTTATAGCATTTAAGCGCTATGCAGTACAAGTGTTTTGTTCAACTAAAGTTGCATTTTGAATTATATTCCATTTTGGAGTTTATTATCTCAAAAGACAAACTCAAATTTTCACTCAGATTTCTGTGCTTCACTTGAGACACCAATACTTGAACTGTGTGAGCTAGTGTTATTTCTGGGAAATGAATGTGTGATTTTATATGATTTTTTTGTAAAAGGTACCCCCTCCCCTGTGATTCACTCGGATTGTGATCTTTCATTTGTTCTTATATATCGCGTTATTTTCGCAAAATTTTTCTCATCGAATTTTTGGAATATTTTAGCCAGTTAAGAAATGGAGAAACATACTGAGGATTCACATTTTCAAAAGCTGCACGAACTTTGCAGAACGTGTGGTGGCAGAACACTGTCAGTCAAGCAGAAGGCAGAGAAAAGGCGACCCCTGCAGTGTTCTAAGTTTGCGTCGGACATTCTCTTGGCCTTTGGTGTTAGCATTACAATGGACTCACAGACAGTACATTCAAAAACCATCTGCAAATCTTGCGCGGACAAGATAAGACATATAAAGAAACATTGCTATCAGGGCACTATAACACGGGCAAGGGAACTCGCCGACAGAAGTAGCCATATTTGGAGCGAGTATGACCCAACATTGCCAACTGATAGCTGCCCCACATGCTTGCGCCATTATGAGACTTCTTTGGGCAACCAGATCAAAAAGGGTAGCCCCACACAGCTGGCTTCAATCGCAAAAGAATGCACACTACACACAACAATAACATCAAATTCCATTTGTATAGACACAACAGCATCATCACAGGCTGACACAGAAGTGAGTGCACACACACTCACTCCAGATACAACTCACAGTGACATGGCAACACCAGGAGACAACACAGTAGGACTCACTGACACACTGAACGTATCGACAGAGGCTGACAGAGGAGATGATTACACTAACATGATGGAGACACAGTTGATGGGACCCCCACCCCGTCCTATTGCTTGTTCTACACCAGCCAAACCCAAACCAAATGTAGCAGACATGAAAACATCACCTGCGTTCAAAACTGACAGATACTTTCATGAATCTTTACAAAAATCACCTTCACAGCCATTAGAAAAAGCTGAAGAAAAACTACACACAAATTTTGTGAGACGAAAATTGCATAACTCAAAAACAAACACGTTTGAATGCAAAACAGGAGGGCAGTCAATACTTCTAGCACGACTAAAGAAATCAAGGAAAGAATTATCACAGGCCAAAATAAGCACAAAACGAAAGACAGCCAAATTAATTTCCGTTGTTAGGGAAAGCATTGTAGGCACATCCAATGACATCGTCACAGAACATGCAAACAAACTGAAGAGAGTCAAGGCACCATATAGACACAAAGTTTGTGAAGAAGCCGGGTTCAGTTGCACACCTCAAATGACAAATGAAGAAATTTTAGCAATGAAAGAAACAACTGATCTTTCATGGAGCCAGTTACGCTAGCAGAGGCGTTTTCTGAAAGAAGCTGGCCTATCAATGCCCAACGAGCACAAACAAAGAGAGGCCATGAAAAGAATATCGGAGGGCAACATTCTCACAGAACAAGTAGATTTTGTTGATAGTTCGGGACAAAAATGTAGGACAGCGTTTGCCAGAGTTTCAAACATAAGTGAGTTTGTTACTGAACTCCTTAACCAGCACAAGCACCACCAAACACTTACTTGGCATGACTCTACTATTCCAGAGGATGAAATATGGGTGAAATTTGGGGGGGATCACGGAAAGGGTAGCTTGATATTTACAATGCAGATTATCAACACTGACAAACCGAATTCCAAGCACAACACTTTTGTCGTCGCTATGGCAAAAATCAAAGACAACTATGATAATCTGAAGATATGCATGTCTCTACTGGAGCCTCAGCTTGAACAGCTTTCGAATTTGGAATGGGACGGGAAGAAGATAATTGTTTTTCTTTTTGGGGACTATGACTTTATTTCTAAAATCTATGGCCTCTCTGGTGCTCAAGGTACTTACCCATGTTTGTGGTGCCTCACAACCAAATCTCAACTGGCGACATGTCAACAACAATATTTCCTGCCTCGTTCTTTGGCAACTATGAAACGTGATCACAAACGTTTAAAAAAATATGGCCATGGCCTAAAGAAAAATGTCGCTAGTTTTCACAATAGTTTACACCTCCCACTAATAAACATTGAACCCGTTAAAGTAGCACCACCATACCTTCATATCCTTTTGGGTATAGTTCTGAACCACCATCCTTTGCTGGAGACAGCGACACACACAATAGACATACAGCTAAGTGAGCAATCAGAGGAAGACTTTAAAGGGCTTTCGTCGTCACTACGCACATAATATGGAGAAAAAACCCTGGAGTCGTGGGAGGAACTAAATGGGGAGATTAGGCAATTAGAAGGTTGCGTAGTGCTTTCTGACTCTGAAGAGGAGAGAGCTAACTTTCAAAAACAACTGACAGGGAAAGAAGACGAGTTGTCTGAGTTAGAGCACGAACCTCTTAGCCCTAGGACTGGCCCTATCTGTTCTCATTTAGACGCCATACTAGACTCACACAATATCACACCACAGGCATATCACAGCCGCTCTTTCATTGGCAATCACTGCCACAAATACATCATGAGTCGCGTTTATAAAGACCTCACGGCATTCATTGTAAAAGAAACAGTAGAAAACACCCACAACCAAAACATAATTGACACCGCTTACACTCTCAGAGAAAAATTCAATCAGTTAAACAACGCATTTAGGGACGTTCACATCCACATCTCACACGGCCAACCAGTGTCAAAAGACAGACTACCACACATTGAAACATGCATCAAAACTCACATGTCATTCTACAGGAGACACTTTAGTGAAAAGGTACTTCCCAAACACCACATTCTAGAAAACCACTGCGTCCCGTGGATACAAACATATGGGTTTGGTCTGGCATTACATGGGGAACAGGGTGGTGAACTTATCCATGCTTCTGTGGCAAAGTTGGAGAGAAGAGGAGCTGGGATACGTAATTCCGAACAACATCTGAAAGTTATCATGCAATCCCAGCACCTGATGTCAAACCCCAAACTTTTGTCAAACGTGCCTCCGACTAAGAGAACAAAGGTGACAGTGTAATCAACCCTTCCCCACTCCAAAACCGTGGCCTTCCCAAAAGAACAGCAAAGTGAGTTTAGATATTTGACCCTTTCTGATGCATTTTATGTGAATTTGAAGTATTGTTTCAGTTTTGTTTGATTGAAATTTTGATTTTAAAATATACACCCCCCAAGGGCGATGTTAAAATATGAGCCATTTTAGGAACGCTGTATATATCTATCGTTATTTCCTACAATGTTGCATCTTTCTCAGTGAGTGTAGAAGTTCCCTCCTGTTCCAAACGGGCAAAATAAAAAGATGGCAAAGTCACCGATCGGCGTATTTTGCGAGTTTAATTATCCTAAAAATGAAAAGAACAACACTGTCAGCGGGGCACGGGGATTCCCCTGGCTATGAGTTCATGACCCGGTGACCCGGGTCAGATTACAAGATGCGGTGCGCTGGCTGCCTGCGAACTAAAGTACCGCTTCCTAACAGCCGTGGATCGGATATAACAGGACATTTTCTCTTCTCCCACCATCCCTGTTATATCAGGTTTCCACTGCAAAAGAAACAACACAAGTGATAAAAGTCAAATATAATTTTTTATGGATTTAATGAATTGTACATAAATTTACATCAGCAATGAGTATGATACATGAAAATAAAACAAAAAAACACATGTAAAATAACTTATATCTGCATACGAAACATCCATTGGCCATTTGCACTTCTCCCCGGAAAGAAGTCCTCTCAAATTCACTCTCACAATTGTCACACTCTCATTCCATCCATCACTGCTGCTTTGATTTTGCTAAAATGTTCAAGAACTTTCCCCTCGTCATTTCGCGAGCTGAGGATAAAAAAGAAAATAAGGTATGACTGTGTGCCAAGCCAGGTTACTAAATGAAACTTATCGCAAACAATACTCATGGGGGAGCAAAATCACATCTTTCATCTAAAGAATTGAGACTAATTTTAGCAATACAACATGTGTTTTTTCTGAATAGGCTAGAGGCCAGTGGAGGGGAATGATATGGCAATAAAGAGCAGTGGGTGTCGCATTCAACGAGAAGTCGGCTCCAACTAGGCAATTGTTAATCCCTGATTTTTTTCCTCTATATCTCTTAGTTAACGTGCATCAGCTCCAAAAAGGTTGCAAACAGACTGAAATCGCTTTCAACAAGGTCGCGATAAACAAATAAAAGCAATTAGCAGCCCCAAAAGCGAAGAATTTTTCTCCTTTCTCTCCACCTCACATGAATCACAAGGTCAATCCTCGATTCCTAACACATAGTATTGCTAGATCTAGTGTGGCTCCTAATATATGGGCCCCAAAGCCAAGAGGATGGGCGAGAGTTAGCCTACAGTAGGGATGGGAGGGGGTGGGTAGGAATGCGATGCGGGCTGTGTGAACTCTGGATCGGTAGGTCTAGATCGAGACCTTCATTTTTTACAATTAATTTTAATTTCTTCCCCTGATAAAAAAAAATTCCAAGCTCTCGCCTTTACTTTATGTAGATCTTGGCCTAGATGTGAGAGGATATGTTTCCACACAAGAAGTGTTCCGGAAAAAAATAATTTTAAAATACAGAAATGACAGTGAACACACAGTCCAAACACGTGCACACTGATGCCTGATGCTGTTTGAGATTTTTGTCATCAGTGGGAACAACTATTTTAATTACTGATATTGGTGCATCGTGTAATATAGGCCTAATAACTTGTCTCCTTTCTTTTCTTTAGCCTAAGTCACGTTCAACGAGAAGTCCCGGCAACCTCGTTGAATGTGACACCCACTGTACAGCTTTAAAGCAGAAAGTTTAAAAGTTTGCCCAAATTCAAAATTAAAATCACTTGAACTTAAACACTTTTTCAATGCAAAAGTAAACCAGGTCCAAGAATCTAAATGCACCGGCAGCATATCTACCAAAAGCAGAAAAGCAAGCAAGAAAATCAAGGCAGAAACTCAAAAGAGTGAAGCTGATTACGTAACTACAAACAGCTGGTCAAATGTGGAACCAAAGTAAGATAGCTGTACGTATGAGTATGAAAGCCAAAAAAAAAAGAAAAAAAAAAGCACAAATGGGGACATTTGAAAAAAAAAAAAAGGCTTAGGTGGCCTACTGTCTTTCATTTATTGACAGGGAATATATAAATTGATTTAACCAACAACAAAGAGAAGCATTAATTTTGTTTTCATGGGTTCTTTAAGGGGAGACGTACACTCCCGGAAATTTTTTCTAAACGAAAGACTTTTATTCAGTTTCATGTAATTGTGCAAGAAGTTCATAGGTAAATAGGATGTACTATCTAGGGGTGAATTTGTTGAATTTTTCTGAAAAATGGGTCTCTGTGGCGGCCATTTTGGATTTTCACACCAGTTTCTAAGTGCAGAAGAATGTCATAGTAAATATTGAATTATCAGCCTGAAATTTGGCACACAAGTACAAACCTATATGAACTGGGGATCCATGAAAGGATTTTGACCTATCTTTAAAACTAAAAAAGTGAGCCCAAAGTCATTGGACCCCCTAGTGTCAGTTTACGAAATTTTGGGGTACATGTTACAAAAATATTGAATATTTTCTCAAGTTACCAATATTTCCCAATTCCCTTTCATAGATCCCCAGAATCGATCTTAAAGCACCTGTACACCAAATTTGAAGCTTCTAGCTTCTGTAGTTTTTGAAAACTCCTTGCACCCAAGAGGTCACATATGTCAAAAAGTATATTTTGAGAAAAACAGAAAAAACAGGGATTTTTTAAAGGATTTTTAGAGCAATTTGCACTTCTCAAACGCCCCTTTAGTTCATTGAGGGTGTTTTTTCAACAGTTTATTTTGACTCGATAGAACAGATGTCAAAGGATGTTTTTCCGCAAAAAACAAAAGTTGGATAGTTTGAAAAATTGTATCGATATTGCCTTGGATCACCGACCCGGGTCTTCCCTTAAGGTCCAGGTCTGATATTGGTAGCATAATGTTAGTACTAACCCTGAAGTGATAAGCTGTCTCTTTGTGTCCATAGAAATGTTGGGCGAGATAGAAGTAGAAGGGGTGCCAGCTGATAGATGACAGTGTTGGCTTTTTTAGATTTTTGTTTTTGTTTTTGGTAAGTGTTTTACGGCGCTCCCAACTGCATAAGGTCCCATGAGCGCGTGGGACACACCTTATACTTTTTAGTTGGAAGGAAATTTTTGAATTTTGCCCGGGTGGAGGCCGAAGCCTACTCTTATCGATTTTAGACCACCAAGGGATCTTTAACGTGCGCAAATTGCACACGGGCCCTCCGAGATTTTTCGCCCTTGTCTGAGAAGGCTAGGTGTAGATCAGGGGTGTGGCAGAAAGACAGCTGTAAGAAGGAATCAAGGAGTAGCAGTAGCAGACCTGCATGTGAGCCTCAACCAGATTGTCTGAAAATTTTGCGCAACCCCCCCCCCCCCCCCCCCCCAAAAGCCTTTGTGGGTATAATCATAAGGAAGGACATCCGAGTAACGAGCGACCACCCCAACAAACACAATAAAGAAGAGACCTAACCCTAACGCCACCCCCAAAAAGAACCTGCAACAGGCCTCATGTAAAAAGGCCAAAACAAGTCCTAAATGAAAAAAAAAATTAAAATTAAAAAACCACACTCCAAAACAAACAAGGAGCATATAGATCTAGATCTACATTGCTGTAGGGTTTGATACAATAACACAATAGAATTGGAATATGAATCCTCCATATAGATCTAGTAATCTAAATAAATCTAGATCTAGATCTAGATCTTGTAGAACAAGTGGATAGGAATAGGCCTTGAACTAGAAATCCGCATCCGATTCCGAACAGAGGGACTCAGCTGAGTCTAGATTCTAGATCTAAATAAATAAATAATTCACGCACCTGATGAAATGCTTATTTTTACCAATATTAATAATACAGCACAACCTATGATAGGGTTTGACACAATAGAATTGGAACATGAATCCTCCATTGAGGTCTATAATGATCTATATAAATCTAGATCTAGATCTAGATTCTATTAGAACAAGAGAGTCGGACTTGAATGAATCCACACGATCTGAACAATTAAATTAGTCAACAAACGAAATTCAAAATGGCCGCTTGAACACGAAACTGAAAGTAGATAATTTAGGTTGTCGTCCTTTTTCGTATTCGCATTTCTACTCAGGTCCCGACAATTATGTAGGAAACGCCGACGTCGGCACGAAAACGAAAGTGCCGACAAAGCCGACGTGAGAAAAAGGGGTCGCTGGCAGTCGGCCAGGCCTCGCACTACGCACATTGACTGATACAGGCGGGCCTAGCGATAGCATCGGCCGGTTCGCGGGTAGGGTCGCGATTGTCGGATTTCAGACGATTGTCGGCAAACATGCAGGTAGAAAGACTGCAGAAAGAGTCAGGAGCCCAGAGGAGGGGGCAAAGGAGGTGAGGGGGTGGGGGCAGAAAGAGGAGACGAAAGCAGACGACAGAATATAGCTAGAAAGCAGGAAAGGAGGGGAAAGAAGACAATTTTAGAGAAGAAAATGTTTCTGTCGGTGCCCGGATTCGAACATAGGACCTTTGAATGAGAGGCGAACACCTTAACTTTTAGGCCACGAGAGCACCCCATAACCAGGTTACAGAAGCAAAACTGTGATTAGTTTGCAAATGGCAAAAAGAAAAAAAACGTGATTGTTTACAGAGGGAAAAAATAACAGTTATGAGGCAAAAAGGTGATCACTTCACCGAGGAAAAATGGTTACCATATTCTACTGCACAAGGTCGCAGAGATTTCACGGGAAAGTAGTTTCATAATTTTTAAACTGAACACTAGAAACAAAATCCACAAAGCTCACCTTCCTCTAGCCCTAACTGATAAGCCAGATTTTGAAGTCCTCTTACTTTCTCCATGAGCTGTGATAAGGTCAAACTTCCAAACTCTGGGGATCAAGAGCCAGATAATCAAACCATTTATCCTTGGGAAGGCATAACATTTATCTTTTCAATGTCCACTCCCAACAGCTAAACAACCGGACATACATAAAACTCAGTAAGATTATCTCTAAACTGAAAACCCAGCTGTTGTTGTACGGTTGTTGTTGTCAGCGATCCAGTAGCATCGAAAACCCAGCTAAGAAAAGAAAAGATACGATAAATCTTTATTGTTCAGATCCTGGCACACCGGTTTGGTATTCCGCTACATACATACATACACACACACACACACACACACATATGCACACGCACAAACATCCATACACACACACTAACACATTTTCTTCTCCACACATGTCTGTGCTCGTAAACATAACAATATACAGTCGAACCTGCCCTCACGGCCACCTCTATAAGACGGCCACCTGTACAAACGGCCACTTTCCATTTCCCCCCTTGCGTTTTTTCTATATAATTTAACTGTGTAAAACGGGCACGTGTCCAACACGGCCGCGGCCACCTTATTTCAACACACAACCCCTATCACACAAAGCAATAACACCCGTCTAAGACGGCCACCTTAGTGACTCCATTTCGGTTAGTCATAAATTGTGCTTTGGCCCCTGGCGTTGTGGGCGAGCCGTCATAATTCAATCACCTGTCGCTGTTGTTAGGTAGTCCCTCCAACCGATCATGTTGCGTAGGCCCCTCCCACAGTTGACCAATAGCTACCAATTTTCAGCTGCTGATGAGGTAAGCGTGTGATCCCTCATAACCCATAAGCCCCGCCCAGAACTTAAACACAAATCGTAAGGGAGATGAGTGGTCACTGTTTACCCAGTCTGTAACAAAGTAACAAAGGACGTCAACATGAACTTGTGACAGAAACGTCGCTCGTTCTCCGAGTGGTGGCGACCCATGAGTTTGTTTTTACATCGCACTCGGTCTTCCTCGTCTGATACATTTCGTTTTACTGTCACCCTTGTGCAAAATCAGCAACAAAATAAAAATTACAAACAAAATACAAACCACCACCACCACCACCAACAAAAACAACAATGCGGCTACTTTCGATTGGGACCTCTGATAGGAATAATTTGTTTTCTTCATCTTGATCAGTCCTGCCTAAGACGGCCACCTGTCTTATACGGCCACTTTTCTCCTTGACAATGGGTGGCCGTCTTACACAGGTTTGACTGTATTACAATAAGCTAGTACTCACAAACAAGCTCATATGCATAATATAAAAGAACAATAATTATTAACATTTATCATTAATAATGTTAAGAATCAGTATTCTTACTGTAACGCAATGATATTCTGATATTGCATGCTTTAAAGGTCATAGGAATACCTATTTTATTACAAGAAGGCTGATATGGTAGGAGTTTAAAATAGATGATGGTAAAAATGACTTTCTGTATCTATCTTTGCTATAAATCAGAAACCTAGGTCTTCCACTTCTGACTGATATTTTTATTTGAGGGAAGAAGGGATATTGGTTGTCCAAAAAGATGGAATTGATGGAAAATCCTGCAGCCCAAGAGATTTTAGTTTATGCAGACTAAGCGGTACCTTTTCCCATCCCAAGATTTTTTTTTGAACACTTGGAAAACAATCTGAGTATGTCAATTTCGACACAGTTCCTAGTCTGTTTGTCCACCAGTTATAAGTTTTTTTTTAAGATGAGAAAAAGCTTCTTTTATTATTTTTTAGGCTCTTCAATGCTGTGTAGACGCATGTACTCGCTTGTGATTTCCCAAACTGATTCTCTACCATTTTTACACCTGGCTTATTGAGGACATTCTAGAATATGTATTCGCAACTTGTATGTCATGGCTTTATTTGCATCTCTCTTGAATGAACATTGCTATTTGGTTGTACAAATATAGATGCACTGAAAGGGTTAACAATCAATCACTGAAAGTATGTTTCCACTGTCCATCAGAAGCCACAAGGACCTACATAGTGTTAATGTCATGAAAACCTGAAAAAAAGCAGTCCTCTTTTACCATTAATGAACTATGGAAGGGAGAGACAAACAAAAACATTCTCTCCTACACTATATACTCTAACATATCAAATGTAGAAAAAAGAAAGCATTTCCTTTGTACCTTGAAGCAGATTTATGTCATCCTTCTCAAGGTCAGCGAGCCATCGCGGTGTTCCAGCATTTTTGGACTGTAGCTGTAATAAAAACAATCAAGACAATAAATGACAAATGGATTTAAGCTTTGGTCCAATCAAGAACACAAGGTTTTTTTTTACATACATTTCTTCCCTATTCACGGCAAAGTTTCCACAGAATGTACTACATCCCAGTTCAATTTATATTAAAAGTATCATAAGCATGACACAATCAAACAATTTGTACTACAGTGGAACTCGGATTCAACGAGGTCGCTGGGCCTGACCTAAAATCTCGTTGAATCAGAGTCTTCGTTATAGCAAACACGAGCTTTTGTGTAGATAATTACAGGCAATGAGCAAGTAATGTATAAAGAGAAGTCACAAGTAGTGCCTGAAATGCCTGCATATTATGAGCTGTGTAAAAAAAAAAAAAGGCCAATTCGTTCAAAAGCACACGCCTGTGTCATCTCGATTGTTTACCAAAAAGTTGCATTGCTGAGTAGAGCCTAGCATATGGCAACTTTTGATTCCATAGACCAGCGCACAATTCATTGCATAGATCTACGTCAAGACTAGCTTATCATTGCAATAATGATCAGTTGCCGAGGGAAAAAAAAAAGACTGTGACGCGTTTGTATCTCTGCCCAGACCACTAGTGCCCCCCCCCCCGATACACACACACTGTCACATGTGTGCATGCCGCCCATCCGACCCCAACACACGCCAGAGTAGACACGTGCACGTACCAACAACGCATGTGTTGATATTAAAGAAGACCGCTGATTGGTCGCATGCAATCGGCTAAGAAATTAATAATGGTTCACGATGCAGGTGCAATGGATGGTTTCCGGGAATAGATAAAGTTCGTTCTGGGAAAAAAATGAGCGAAGCCACGTCTGTGGGGACTGTTCACCCTTGAAGCGACCTCGTTGAATCCGAGCTCGCTGATTTAAGTGCTCGTTGAATCCGTGCTATTTTTAGTGATTTTAAAGAAGAAAAAAAACGGGGAATCTATCTCATCTCGTTGAATCCGTGTTCCACTGTATCAACCTTGCAAGCTAGATGCCTCTGATCCTAAAAGGACCCCTGCACTAAAATTGCCTTGAGTCAACAGCTGGATTTTTCATAACCTTATGCTGAGGTGTACGATTGGTGCACAGAAAGTTAAAGGTAAAGTATGTTCAGACCCACACTCTATCAAATAGAGTAAATGTTAGCCGAGAAAATGACAAAGATGTGTCTATTTCATTCAGTAGTGACAAGCTTTTTGTAGCTTAAGTTGGTGTATATTCATTATGTCATTTACTTGTTGCACCTAAAACTAAAAGAAGGACGTTATGCACTGCAAAAGTACATCATTGGAGCTGCTATATTGAACTGTAACATTAAAAACATGATTAGTACCTATCTATAACATGAAAAAAAAAAGTCTGGCTTTATCGCCTGCATTTTCTATATCAATCACCAAAGTGGTCCTTGCATCAAACAAACCCATGAACTCTTAAAATAAGAAGGAACCCCTGTATATTTGTGTTCTTGAAGATTTAAAAAAAACTTATTTAAGTGATAGGTCAAGGTCAGGAACTAAACATTGCAAGGGAGTAAAAAAGACACACTGATGTTCCTGCCGTTCTACGAAAAGAAATTGAGGACATCCCATGTCTGAGGATCATGTTGCAGTGGATTCCATCACACTGTGGTGTCTTGGGAAATGAGCAGGCAGACAGGATGGCCAAACTAGGAGCACAAAAAGAGCAACCAGACAACAGCGTTAACTACACAGAAATAAAAACTATTATAAATACACTATTTAAAGCACCTCAGACACCAGATGGCTACCATGAGCTGTCCCGCCAAGAACAAGTGATTATCTTCAGACTAAGAACACAACACACAAGACTGAGACAACATATGTACAAATGTTTTAAACTAGTACAATCACCAAAATGCCAGTGTGGAGAGGCGGACCAAACTGTTGAACACATCCTTCAGCACTGCAAGACACACAGGGCCCTGAGACAGGAAATGTGGCCAACCCCACTGACGCTACAAGAGAAGCTATACGGGCCGCCAGATGAACTGAGCAGGACGGCCCAATTTATGACAGATACCGGACTTCAAGTGTGATACGATCGAGAAGAAGAAGAAGAAGAAGTTCCTGCCGTTGAATGCTTGCCCCACATAGTCCATTCAATTTTCAGTATTGTACGTAGAAAAGTCCTACATATTCGCGAAAATGTTGAGAAAAAGAAAATATTCCTCTGCAGAAACTTTATGATAGTTGATAAAGGAAGTAAAAAGTAAAAAACTGCCATAGAAATAAAAAGAACTATCCCCAAAATGACATTGCTGAAACCTCGGATATATTGAAAAAGAATGGCTAATTCAATGATTTCATTACATGCAAGGTTCATTGAAAAAGCTGTCACCAAAGTTAAAGAAACTCTATTAAAGAATTTCATGGAAAAGAAAGAACTGTTGATTTCTTATTGTTTATAAACACCCATGCTGTACTTACATTTTGACTCACTTCATATTCTGTCACACCAGGAACTGAATTAAAGAGACAAAAAACATAAATGAAGCTATGTGCAATTTACATCATACACAATACATAGACTTCATATGAATTTGAAAATGCACTGAAGAGATGACCATTTACAGAGAGGATTACAAGTATAGTATGAGGAATCAAAACATAGACAATATTAATATATTCATTTTTTTAAAAAACGATAACCTTATTACTTTATAGAAATAGAAGTTATACCATCCTTCAAGTCCATGTTTGCATCTTGAATCATGAACCTCATTCTTTTACACAATTAGACTAAAAACCACAAACATGTATTAGTATGAAGGGAACTATACGCAAAAGAGAGACAGTCAAAACACACAAAGAGGGTGGCTTGCCAAAAAAAAGTAACTATGGATCTGCATAATAATATTGTACGAGGAGATCTATGTTTAAAAATTCCTTACTTTTCTCTGGCCAGAGGTCTGGAGAAGATCTGTCCAGTCTCTCTAAACTGAGAAGTTTGTCCTCCTCTGTAAAAAAACAAAGGTTTTCATTCAATATAAACACAGAATAATCTTTATTAACAGTGAGGTATTTAAAAAATAACGAAACATAGAAATTGGAAACAAGCAGAACTGCAAATTTTCACCTTTTCTTTTTCATTTACTACGCCTGAAGCTGGTTAATTTTTTTCTTATAAAAGGTCATACCAGAAATAAACTTGATACCAAACAGTCGACCAAGACAGTGAATTATTCAAGAGATGTTCCTGTGTCCAGTTATTACTCAGAAGGTACTGAATAAAGGGGGTGGGGGGGAATAAACGGGGAGGTTGGACAAGTGGTCTAAAATTAATAAACAGGGGTATGGAATAAAAGAGGGGGGGGGGGCTGGTACATTCAACCTCATACCCCTGTACTAGTAGGAACAAATCTGTTTTATTTCTCCTTCAGTGAATAAAAGAACAACAGATCATAACATTTTTGTGATTCTAATAAGTTACTGTGATAGCTTTTCCCATTTAGGAACAAACCAGTTTCATTAAAAAACATAAGCCAATGTGCAAAAGTCTTTAAAAAAAACACAAAATTGAGGTAGCCAATCCGGTACCGGTACTAATACTGAGGGTATTTTGCCATCTACAACAAAAAAAAAGTTTAATTCAGATATCTAGATTCTAGATATAAAGTTCGCAGTGGCGCTAGTTGGCAGGCTACGTTCACGGCGCCCTGAACGCAGTTTGAGGGTGCGAGGCCACGTTCACGGCACTCAAGCTTCGTTTAGAGGGAGCGTCCACTGTCCATTTAAGTTAGTCGGTTTTAGTCACTGACGACAGTGACGTATATTTAATGTTTTGGCCTGCTTCAAGCGGGGGTGAGAGAGAGAGAGAGAGAGA